ATTTCCAGCTCTTTGATCTGAGAAATAGGGTCAGCCATTATGCACTGATTTAGTGAAGTATGAAACTTTGATTAGCAAATTCCATAATTTTTTCCACAAGTTCTGTTCAAAAATATCATTTTAGGCAAGGTGAACCTCTGGCATTAATACATTTCATCATTTTGTTAGAAGCAAAATATCTTTAGGGGCTTTTATGTCTAAGGTCTTGCAGAGATTGAGGCAATTGACATTTAGTTTTGATCTTCCAAATCATGATCATTCAGAAAATTCTTGTGAGCCATAAGTGAAAATGTTCTTAAGATACTGGATAAATGTAATTACTATTGGTCATACAGGTTAATGTTATTGTACACATCCAATAATTACTAAAGGTCTTCTTATTGACTTTATTGTATGAGAGAGACCATTTTTCTATTAGAAACATTTATAATTGTTTTGCTGTAATTGTCTGAGCTAAGTTACAATTGTGTCACATAATGACCTTTAAAAATGTGTCTAGAAAAGCCTGCAGCTGTTCCCTCCTTGGGTTCTCTCTACCGAGTTATATTTAAGCCAGTGTCTCTGAAACCAGGCAGTAATAAAAGGGATATTATCCTTAGCAAATATCTTAATCATGGTAAATCTCTGTTGCCCTACAAATGACTGCATGGGGGATTAGAGTGGAGTAAGCCATTTGCTGAATATCACTGCCACCTTTCCGAGGCCATTTAAGCGTGTTTAATTTTTCAGGGTGAAACATGAAACCGACTAATACAAATGTTTGCATTTGGCCTGAATTATATCCAGACTGTAACAGTTAGAGCAGGCTTAGGACCAGATTGTGAGTGATCTGTAGGAGGCCAGTTCTGCTTGGGAGAGTGAGAGAGAAAAATGCATTTTTGTTCCCAGTCCCAGCTCTCTTATGTCACTTACGCTGCCTTGCTTCTTTTCAATATTTATGTAAGGCTATCATGGGGTGAAGTACCAGTAAATATATGGATGATGCTTAGCTCTGTTTTTTTTATTATCAGTCGCAGTCCTTACTGTCATCCAGTGCCTGGGAGCTGTGAGTGTCTGGCTTGGGTTCATCCTGGCTAAAATGGAGGTGACAATGCTATGGAGTACAAATTCTTTCAGTGACTTGTGTCCTCCATAGCATCACTAGCTATCTGTTTGTTCATGCAGATTTCATTTATCAGGTTGCCCAGGAACACTGAGACTCCTTTTTTTCCAGTGGTCAAACTTAAGAGAATGTTTTGGGAGACTGAAGTACTACTGTGCATTTCATGCTTTCTTTTTTCCTTTCTTTTAACAAAGCAGTGTCTTCTCTCTGTTCCTGCCCAGGAGACTTCAGCCATAGCCAGTTTGGACTCAGCCAGAGCCTTGGGAACTGGCAGCTCCAGGAGGTGCTTCCTGGGGCAGAATCCAGTGACTGTGAGATGACACCTGTTTCAGGTGGCACAACCCTCTTACTCCACACTGCAGTGTGCCAGGAACACATCACCCACAAGCTCCCCTTGCTCCCAAGGAATGTGAACTCAGGTTCACCTCCCCAGCTCAATTTCTTGAGCTTTCTATCAGGCAGCTTTCCCCATAAGCCCTGAACATGACTTCCCAGAGCGGCTACGAGGGTAAGAACTGTGAGTGTGAGAGGCAGTGTTTTGTTGTTCATAGGATCATGGAATAATAAAACAGTTTGGGTTGGAAAGGACTTTAAAGACCATCTCATTCCAACCCACTTGCTATGGTCAGGGACACCTTCCATTATCCCAGGCTGCTCACAGCTCTATCCAACCTGGCCTTGAACACTTCCAGGGATGGGGCAGCCACAGCTTCTCAGTTCAAGTCCCTCGCTACCCTCGTAGTAAATAATTTCTTCCTATCACCCAACATAAACCTGCCTTCCTCCAGCCATTCCCCCCTGTCCTTTCACTACATGTCCTTGTGAAAAGTCCCTCTCCGACTCTCTTGTAATCCCTTTTGGAGCTGGAGCAAGTTGTTGATTCCCTCATTTGCTGCTGATCTTCAGTGAAGGTGTGGATGTCTGTCCATCCCAGTGTTCACTGTGCTCAGTGCAATATTCTCTGTGTTTAAATCCCAGACAAGTTTCCAGATGACAAGCCCTGACTTTGAATGGTCAGCAGAATTTAATATTTATTCTAAGGACCTTAAATGAGACCATAGGATGTGTGGTTAAGCAGTTATACTTGTTAATTTGGAGATGTAGCTAATAATAACCAAATTGAAAGAGGAAATTGAGTTAGTGCCTGTAAGAAATGAGACATTCACAGTGGACCCTCTCATTAGAGACTTAAAAATTATTATTTTTCTAAACTTAATCACCTATTTCATTTTTCAACCACTTCAACCAGACACAAACATTCTTTTCTGTGACAGTGATTTAACATAAATTATGTGTGTAGCTTGTCCGATTGGTGAGTTTCTATCTTTGTGCTTTTAGCTTGAATGTGTGTTTTTTCCCTAAGGAAAAAGTAAATTCTGTTAAGTGGATAAAGTTTTATTATACTCTGTTTTCTAGTGTATAGGCAGGTTAAAGCTTTGATTTAATTTCCCTCACAGAAGAAACAAAATTCCTGTGGGAGACAATTATAGGTGAAGATGAAACCCCTTGGTGTGTTCAGTGTATCTTTCAGAAGCTTTCATAATGATTTTGAATGAAATACCTACATAGATAAAATGGATAGAATAACAGAACTATTTGGATTAGAAAAGCCTTCTAAAATCATTAAGTGCAACAATTAACCTGACATTATCAAGTCCACCATTGAGTCTTCACAGGTATACAAGGTTTTTTTCTTTTTATTTACTCTGAAGGTGCAAAGAGCTTCTATTTCTGATTCCAGCCACTGTTTCATACACTCAGTGTTTGTGGGTTTATCCCTGTGGCTACTGCTGAGGAACGGCTGCTCTTTGCACAGAGTCTCCCATGAAAGTGAGGCCTTAATTGTGTCTTCACCTAGAGAGGTGGATCAGAAAGTGTTTTCATATTCACTAAATATTTTAGAAGGTTTTAAAGTTTCTCTGCAGCAGGATAAAAACTAGAAACATTCCGAGATTTTTGTAAAAAGGCTGCAGAATGAGAAGGAACATTATGTACTGGAATAGGGTCCAAGGTTAAGCTTCTCATCTGGACTGAAGGTTCAGACCAGGGTTTTCACATTCCATTTGATGCTCTCATCACCAGATAATTGCCTATTTTGAGGAAGCTGTATTTTGGCTTCAAAAACTTACTGGAAATTCAAGTAGGAATTTCCAGGTTGAGTGTGAAAAGTCATTTTGTTCTCATATATTTCTTTTAAATCAGCATGCCCCTGTTTTGGTATAATACATGTTTTCTCCTTGCAGATTCTTCTGAAAAAATCTTATCTAAGGTAGAAATTAGCCCTTCTTTGAACATGGATTAAACCAGATGACCTCCTGAGAAGTTCTTCTAAATTCTTCTATGATTCAGCTTGGAAAGTTCACCCTCAGTCTCTAATAAGCAAAAAGGATTCATGAACCTAGCGTTAATGTACAGTAAAAAATGTCACATTAAGTGCTGAATGCCATGGTCTAAAGACTTATGTATTATCTTATAAACTAATTGTTAGCTAGTGTTCTCAGTTGCTGAGTTGTTTTATGCATATGGACTTAGAATAAGTTCATAGATATAGATATAGATATAGATATAGATATAGATATAGATATAGATATAGATATAGATATAGATATAGATATAGATATAGATATAGATAGATATGTGTGGTTTTGTGTGTGATATTAGGCACAGAGAATTGTGTAAGGGAAGGACAAAAATCATGTCTATGCCAGTAAGTGACACAGGGCCAGGGACAGCTCCAGGCACTGGATGATGCTCGTGTGCTCTATGGCACCACTTTGACCTGGTACAAGCAGAAGCATTCAAGAGGAAATGACTGATTATGCTTGCAATTTTACCATGGGTCACAAACCCTTCCCATTTAGCTATCTGGATGCTGTTGTGGCTACATTTCAAATGGTAAATAACAAGGATGTGGAAGGTCACTCTACAGGGGCCAGGGAGGTTGAGGTTATATTCCTGGCTGTGCCCTGAGTTGCCTGGGGTGTCCATAGACAAGCCACTTCAGTCTTTTTAGTCTCTTTATGCCACTTCCATTTTCTTAGTCTCTTTCTTTCACACGTGTAAATGGCTTATTGTAAAAACTCAGCTTTTCATAGCAGTTTTTGTTTTCTGTGGTATGTTGGCAGGCACACATGGGAAGGGCCTATTCTAGGCTGGGACCTCTAGAGGTTCCCATAATCCAAATAATAATGGTAAAGACAAGGGAGTGACATGTGATTTCTTATGAAATGACCATCCAGTCTCCTTGAGAGATGTAAACTGAGCGATTGTTCTGTGTGTACCAGCTTTACAAGAGCTAGAGTGCCCATTTCAAGAAGGATTTGGGGACAAGCTTCTGCATATCTGTGCTTGCAACAGGCAGGAGCAGCTTCCATAATTATTAAACTTAGTATAACTTCTGTTGGATCTGCCATGGAAGAACTGCTGTGAAAGAAAAGCCATGGAGCATGATTCTGTTTGCATTTGAGCTGCTGTGATATAGAGTAAATGCCTGACACATAAAGGACTCCTTCATGGATGAAATAGGTTCCTAAAGATGGGCTTTCACCCTCCCTTGCCATATTACCATGTAGAAAAAAATAAAATGCCATGCCTCCTCACTTATCTGTCTGCCAAAAGAAATTTTAGACTATTTAACAAAGCTGACGTGTGCTTGGTTAGAACACATTCATTAAATGTGTTGGTAATGCCACAGAGGGAACGTGTAATGGGAGAGATCAGTGCTCCTGTAGCAAATGCAGTGCTAAGGCTGGGGTTGTGCTGGGAGCTGAGGTGCACCCTGGGCCCAGAATCGCTGCTGCCTCTGCTGAGCTCACCCCATGGGGAGCTGGGAGAGTCCTGCCCTGCTGGGAGCCCACCTGTGGATCAGCTGAGTAATTAAGTGTTTGTTTGCTTCCAGATGAATACAAGAGTAAAGTAGCCTGTGAAGATGACAAGCTGAGGCTGAGCTGTAAGAAGAGCATGGTGATAGCCATTTACTCTGCTATCTTTGGGAGGACACAAGGAGGCAGCCTGGAGTGCCCATACCAAAACCTAGGGATGCCCATGATTGGTAAGCTGGGGAATGTCTTGATGACACACTGATGTGGGCAGGGTGATTTCATTTACTGTCATCACAGCAGAGCTGGCACAGATCCTGGTCAGAAAAGCAGGACTGGGACATGTAACCTGCCATGGTGGTGCTCCTGATGTGTGGTACCTTGTCAACCAGGGGTGAGCTTCAGCATGAGCACCAAACTGAGGTGCAGCTGTATGCCCCAGGCCACAGGCTTTTCACAGATTCATCCGATTATATGATTGAAGGTGCTTGAATTTCTTGTTCAATTCTCTGTCTTCGTGGTGGTTCACCCACTGAGCCTCTGCCTGTAATATGGAGGAACATATTATCTGGGGATGTCCTGTACATCTGCAGCACCTGAAGCCTTGACATTGCACTTAAACTTTCAGTGAAGTTAAAGCAAAGGAGCGAAGCAAGCTTAAAAAAGCAAGTTGTTAAGTTTCATCATGTTATGGTTGGCTTACAGTACCTTCAAGTATCTTCCTTACTCTCAGACTATCAGAGTCTCTTACAGTCATGAGTTAAGGATAAATAATTGAAAAACATTCACTGGAACTGTCTGTTCTTGAGCTGATGTGAAATGACTTGGAATATTTTAGGCTGTGGCAGAGAAAGCAACAGTCACAGTACAAAAGCAGGTGCTCAGCATTCGTCATAATTCTCTTCAGAGCTGAAAGGGAGTTAACTGGTTTCCCCAAAGGAATTGCCTCCAGAGAGGGAAAGGATTCAGAGGACACCACACAGGGAACCTTTATCTGGTGCTATTGTCTGTGCTGGACCTGTTCAGCTGTATCTGAGGATCTTTGGCTTCACAGCTGCTGATCCAGTGCCCTTAAGGAGCTAAATGCTATTAAAATGGAAGCATGTCAAGTGAGTGCTTGGAAATATGACACTCAGGTGATGGGTGTCAGTAGAAACCCACAGGTGGAATGAGGCCAGTCAGGTTATTTGTGCAGTGTGGCGAGTGGCTTCTATAGCTGTGCAAATCTGAGCACTTGGAGCACAGCTGAGTTGTACAGGGTCTTCTGAGGTGACCAGTGCTCTTGGATGTGCTCCTTTAGTCCCCCAGTTGCCAGGTAGCAGAAGCCAAAACAGATGTGTGTGGCAGGTTAGCCTTGGTGTGGTGTTTGGGATGGGCTGAATGTGTGCACTGGGTGCTGAGGTGAGACCTTGCCAAGTCAGTGAAACAGGATGGGTTTCTGGAGCAGACATGAGCACCCCACTCTGTTGTCCTTGCTGAGAGAGCAGGAACAGGCACTTGCCAGTGGCAAGGTATCAGCACAGGGACCTACTCTTCAATGTCAGCATGAAGCAAAACTCTGTGAAGCCACAAAGGATAAAGTTTTACCCTTCTTTTCCCAGCTACAAAGTCATGAAACTTGTACTGGCTGAGAGCATGGTTTGTGGGACCAGAAAATGGGACAGGAGGCACAAATAGGGAGAACAGCAGGGCTGCATGTGCCATAGGATATCCAGCACCTGTATGCCCTGCTGTTCTCAAACTGGCCTTGTGAGCTCTACAAATTCAGATGTTTGCCCAAGGAAATGAGGTGTCAGATCCTAGAGTGCAGCACGCAGTCTGCTGCTGGGACAAGGCAGGGCCTTGCTCAAGTGTCAGCTCCTAAATGAAACTACTTACAGGACCAGGCTCAGTACAAGACAGTGTACTGCCAAGTCAGGAGAGGGAATGCAGGGGAAACTATGCTAAAATCCAGCTCAAGGTTTTAAACTGTGAGCTGATGCTAAAAATGACTGAGTTGTTGGACAGGAGCAAATATGCACATGTTTGGAATTGCTGGAATTGTCTCAAGAAAAATGAAAATTATTTTAAGTCAGAATGGTGCTCCTGGGGTGCTGTGGGAGTGGGTGTATGCTGCATAAGAGCATAAGGGAAGGTGGGAAGGGTGTCTGGAACATCTGCTGGCTGCATGCCCTGCAGGGCTGGGGAGATGTAAGGAACTCACCGTGGAGCAGTGACTTCCTCAGGCTTTCCCAGCCATTTGGGCACTGTGTGTGTAGGGTGAAAGACAGATTACAGCTGTTGATGTTTCCTTGCACTTTGAAATCCTGAGCGAATTGTGGGAGCCGGGGTGAGCTTACTTAAAAGAAAATTGGGGGTGAGCAGATGGTCATTGCCAATTCACCATGCTCCAGCCCTTAAATCCCCACTGTGTTTGGGAGGGGTTGTTCAGGTGTCTTCAGGTACAGCTCACTGATCCCCTTGGCATGAGGCAGTCTCTGCTTCTCCCTTATCTGCCTGTGTGAGCTGCCCCAGTGGGGCAGTGCTGCAGGAATGGGGATGTGAGTTGTGGCTGAAGTTCTTCTCTTGGCTCCACAGGAGAAACTGGTGTAGGATCCTCCTCCAACCCAAATCAGCAAAAAAGCACATTCACACTGTGCTTCCCCATGGCACCCTGCAAACCTCCCACTCCTGTCTCCAGTGACAAGAGCAGGTTGTTCTCCCAGCTTCACGAGTGGTTGTGGGAGCAGAACTCAGGGCGCCCCAGCCTACTTCACAAACTGCTCTTCTCATGGGCCTGCCTAGCCCAGCAGGCAGCTCTGTTCCTTCAGGAGCAGGTGGAAACATCACAATTTATAAATCAAAGTTACTGCTAGCTGGAGAACATTTCCCTGCACATTTCCACAGCCCTGCAATGTGGGGAGGGCTGCTCTGTGGCAGCCTTTGATCCCAGACATTCACAAGCTGTTCTTACAAACATGACCGTATGAGTCAGACTTTGCAGCAACATCCAGTTCCTGCAAGGCAGAACCCAGCTATGTTCTGTACATGGGAGATTTATTCTGTTTGAATTTCATGGGACTGATGATTTGTGTCAAGTCTGAGCCTTGGCAAAGGGCATTTTTCTGGGAAGTAGGCCCTGCACAAGTTAGCAGTGATTATTTATATCCATGCAGCCTGAGCTACGTGATGAGTGAAGAAGTCATACTTGCCCCAAAAGTGGTGAAGATTATCTTTTCTTCCTCTTCTAATGAAAAACAGTTCAGAAAATTTTATTCCATTTTTCTTTCTGTGGACAAAATGCACATTTGGATTGAATTTAGAGATATACAGCTTCTACAGGTGAGACTTTTAAAGAACTGAGGTCTAAGATGGGCAGGACAGGTGGCCTAATTGCATATGTAAGGCAAACCAGTTCAATTTGTGTTGTTTCTGCCTTGAAAAACAAGACCTTGTACTCCTGTAAAAGTGTTAAGGAGATAAAGCTCACTAACACTGAATTTCCTGGATTCTACTTTAGGAGCTCAGCTGGTTTCAGAGGTATCCTGGTGCTGCAGTCCTTTTAACTCAGATACTGCTGTGCTGCTTTTGGGTGATGAAAGATCCCAAGTCACCCTTCATGTGCCATGCCATGCCATGCCATGCCATGCCATGCCAGATACATGTTTTCTCTTTGTTCAATGTCTATGTGAATGTGTTTAGCATCTGTGAACAGAAAGTTATGGTGGAGAACTTCATCCTGTCACTGTCATGTTAAAGTGAAAATCTGTCAGGATCCTCCTTTAACTGGAAACATGCTGAAACTTATGTCTCTGACCGTAATGGGAAACCCCTGCAAACAGCTGGAGCCTTCCTTGAATGCCTTGGGAACTCTGAAAAGCTCCTAAAAGAATTTGACCTTATTTGTAACTCTTTTAATAAAGCCTCCACTTTGCTGCCAGCATGTGCAGAGAGCATACACAGAGCATGGGGAGGTCTCTGGGGAAAGGGCTATTTACAAGCAATGAACCATTAATATCCCTCAGCCAAGTGAGCCCTTTGCCCCCTTTTTCTGCTGTTTACAGCTGCCTTTGCCTGCATCTCCCAGTGTCTTGTTTATTCCAAGAGAAGTAGTTTAAAAAATGGCCTTTTTCTACGTGTGTCTGAGTGCAAGGTAATGATCTAATTAGGAGACTGAGGAGGAAGATCTTGGACATAAAATGATTACCCTGTTTATTGCTTAGTGGAGCAATATCTTTGGTCATATTCAGGACACTTGAGTTGTTCACATTATTTATTTCTACAGTAGCTCCCCCCCTGAACCACAGAGGGTGAGATGGACATGTTCAGCTGACCTCTAACATAGGATCCAGGACTCCTTCCCAAGGACCCTGTCTTTCTCCGTCATGTATACAAAAAGCCCAAAGCAATTTAATTGCTCATCCTGGGTAGAAGGAATCTGGGTTTGGTTTTGGAGTTGGTGCAAGATCGTGGGAACCCTGGCTCCTCAGCCTTGCTCTGGGTCCTGGGGTGTGGATTAAGCTGAGTACTCTGCTGGGACTGAAATGTCCGTGTCACTTAACATACAAGTTGTCTCCTGTGCCTCTGTAAAGGGGAAAAATTAATGTGTTTACAAAGCCCTGAGGAAACTCATATGGTCAGTGGCACTCTCTGACTCATGGGATCTGATAATGGAAGAGCAGAGGAAGGAGTTCAGCAAACGAGCCCATGCTTTAGGTGCTCATTCCCTGGCATTTTCATTCTAATGTAGGGACAGAAGGTGATCCAACCCAGTTTGTTTTGATTTCCCCCTCTTAATGCAGATGTATATAAGACTTAAAGCAGAGTCCTCATATAAATATTTATTACACCATATAAATAATGGACCCTACTAATTTGTTTTTCTGTGACCACATCTAGCATGTGAATGAATATGAAATACATGCAGTAAAAAACCCATTTTATTCCAGGGTACATGTTCTTGCCAGCACAAGAGCTGGCTTTAAGAAACTGCTGCCCCTGCAGCTGTGCATTTCTGGCTCTCTTCTGCTTCACCATCTATGACTGTTTTCCACCCTGCTTCTATCAGGACAAGGTTGTGGCTGTGCTCTAATTTTAGTCTTAAGTAAAATGCTTAAAAATAAAAAGGTGTTAAAAGTGTGGAGCTGGACCCGTGAGGAGTAGTAACCCCTGGCACTGAAGTGGGAAGCAGGCGGTGGCTGGGGCTGCAGGAAGGGATGGGATATCCACAGAAATCTGTGCTGGTCAGACAATA